GTTATCTTTCCTGCTTGGTGCAGGGGGCTGAACCTGATGATTTTCTGTGAGGTCCCTTCCGGCCTTACAATCTATGAACCTATAAAGCAAAGAATCTTCCTGAGGTAATGCTGATGGAACCATTCCAGGTGCTTAAGATGGCTTTGCTATGGCACCCATACCTCATCCATAGAGGAACTTGGAGATAACCATTGCAGTGTAGACCAGGATCTTAGTTCCCATCTGCAATCTCAGTCAGCAAAGACATGGTGAAGCAGCTTTCTGAAACATACGCTGGTACAGTGAATCCTGTGTTTGATTTCTGCATCAAGACTGGCTGACTGGGAGAGGTGACTACCAAGTTATGGGAAATTCTCAATGTTTTCCAGGGGTTTTCCAGCAATAGTAATTTGTGGGGGAGAAGGGCAGCTTGTGTTGGGGCAGGCTGATGGAGCACATTGATCTTCCCAATTTTAATGGAGGGTCCAAGGCTATGATAGTCACCTGAGAAAAAGGTCCAGGATAGACTGCAAATCAGTCTCAGTGTGCACAATGATAACACAGTAATCAGCCTACTGAACATTGGTGATGCCAGTCTTGGTAGCTTTCATTTTGCTGTGAAGGTGTTACAAGTTGAAAAGCTGACTGTCCATTCGATATTCAACATCAATTCCAGGAGGAAGGCAGTTACAGCTAAGAATCAAAATCACAGCAAGATGGATGGAAAAAAGGGTTGGGGCAATGACGCAGCCCTGCTTGACACAAGTACAGATGGTAAATGGGCCTGTCTCTGATCCATTGCAAAGGACTGTGGCAGTCATCCTGTCATGGAGTAGCCTGAGGACACTGATAAACTTTAGTGGACAACCAAATCTAGCCAGCACATTCCATAATGCTATATGATTGATGGAGTTGAGGACTTTGGTTAGGTCAATGAATACTGTAAACAGCTCCTGGTGTTTCTCTCTACACTTCTTGTAGGTCTGTTATGCGACAAAAATCATTTTGGTGGTACTCCATGATGATCTAAAGCCACACTGTGATTCTGAAAGGACTTGTTCAGCAAGGGGGAGAGGCAATTCAGGAGTATGCTAGTAAGAAACTTCCCAGCAACAGAGAGGAGGGCAATGCCTCAGTAGTTCCCAAATGCTGACTTGTCCCCTTTCTTGAAGATGGTCACAGTGTTGGCATCCTTTAAGTCAGGTGGAACTTCCTCGTTAACCCATATTTTGATGAGAAGTTGGTGACATTTTTGTGCTAGTGCTGTTCCACCAGTCTTGAAGACCTCTGTGGCAATGCTATCTGGGCCTGGTGCCTTTTTTGTTCTTGGTCTGAGTGATGGCATGCCAGACTTCCTTGAAGGATAGGGGATCAGCAAGAGGTTCTATGACTGGATGTTGAGGGATAGACTTGATGATGGCAATTGAGACCTCAGATTTGCAGTTGAGTAGCCTTGAAGTGCTCCTTCCAGCATTGCTTGATGATGGGTACATTGTCAATGAGACGGGTGGAGCTGTCCTGCTGTTGCAAGAAATTGGGCCATTGAAACATGGCCCATGGATGGCTTTTATTGCTTGAAAGGAGCTTCTCATGTCATGTTGGTCAGTGAAACTCTGGATTTCCATAGCCTTCACTTGCCACCACTGGTTCTTGATAGCCCGCTCTGAACTACAGCTTTGAGCCAGTGGTAAACCTCTCATTTTTGTTGCTTGGAGGGTTCATTTTGCCACCTGCAGAATGTGGGTCTCTGCTGATGGATAAGTGCTAGGATTTTCTCATTGTTCTTGTCAAACCAGTCTTGGTGATGGTAAGTGGAGTATCCAATAGATTCAGCACATGCCTTGTGAAAACAGCAATATAGTAAAAGGCAAGGCCAGATTTTATGTAGGATTTTCACTCTTGATGAAGAAGTATTTATCTGTGCAAAACAAATATATTGTTAGAAATCAGGAGGCTGGTTTTTTTTTCTTAACTGCTTTTCTTTTTTTTCTTTTTTTAATCTGCAGATCGAAACGCCCAGCACCAGTTCCAACAGCAACACCCAGAGTTGACTCTCCCAGGCCGGTAATTCCCCATCAGAAGGTATGTGGCATATTTTTCTTCCTCTTAAAGCACGAGCATGCTTTATATAAAACCTAAAGCAACACAAAAAATAGCCCTTTCTCCCTACCCCAGGTATATGCATTAATGGAATGCACAATATGTGAAGTGTCACAATTGCTAAATAAATGTAATACGGTGATGAACTTTCCTTTTCTAGTTGGTATTTGCAGACCTGGAGCATCTATTCATTAGTTGCTTAGTTTCTGCAACACTAAACTTGGAGCAGCTGGCTCATTCCTGTCTTTTTCATTGTGTTCCCTTACAGCTTGTGATTATCTATCAGAGCTCCACAAAAGATATAGCTGCTTTCTAGAAAAATCCTAATAGTCTGTGTCTCAGCTCATTTAAAAATTCAGTAAATATGACAAAATATTGACTTGGTAAAAACAAATTAGGGCATTTTAAAAGCTAGTGCCATACTAGCTCGATAGGCTTATTGTGTTAATCTATAGATCTCCTACAAAAATAGAAAGATATTAATTTAAAGTTGAGACATAAATGATAGGGAAAATGGACAGTTCTGTTTCTGCAGTAAAAATCCATCATCTCCAATGAGATAGAAATCTATATCACAACAATAAGCACTACCATGGATATTCAATTACTCTTATTACATTTAAGATGCAACTAACCAGTTAATCATATCTTAAGTTGTTACCTGGCTATATATTAATGCAATTAATGGCTTGATAAAACAAGGAATAAGGTATAAAGTTATTACATAAAAAATGTATAATAACTGTGGCTGATTCCTATCATGCCATTAAGTGTGGCCAGGCTGGGACTCCCAGCTGCAGGGTGCATCTCTGTGACTGACAGGCCTCTCAGCTGAGGGAGCTCCCAACTCTGAGAGCTTACCATTTGCCCCCAAGACTAGAATCCTTTAGCTGACAGAGCTCCCAGCTGTAGGGGGTGCATGATGTGTACCCAGAGCTGGGAGCCCCATCTACTGATCCAGACTCCCAGACATAGAGGCACATGTCTGCCTGGGGCTTCAGTATCATTCATGTCAGCATCCTCTGTGGCATTACAGAAGAGCATGAATGGTTTGAAAGACAATGTATCTTTTTCTTCCCAGAGGTTTTCCCTCCCTATCTGAGATATATCATTTTGGCAGGGCAGTGGAGAGTAAATTTGTACTGCCTGTGTTCAAGCTGTTCCAATTAATTGAATAAACACAGGCGGCTCAATAATACCTACTCTTATCAATCCTATTCATTTAGTGAGTGCCAACTTCAACACTTAAAACTATATACAATAATGAAAGAAAATCAACAGACTATGTCAGATCCCAAATCAGAAGCAGAATGGGCATGCCAACCTTATGAATCACTCCAAAATACTCTGCTTTCCGGTTTCAGGGTTTAGGAGATTTATGTCCTCTGTAGCAGGTGCTGACATTTTGAAACTCACCTAGAAGAGTGAGCTTGAGGAGTAAATGGTTAGGTTTTATTTATTTATTGAATATGAAATGAAGCAACTTAGCCATTTTGTGACTGAGTCAGAAATGTTACTTCAACTCTAGTCTCTTTTTGATATCAAAGCAAGGGAATGAGACATGCAAAAATTGACTTTGCTGAGAATATTCTTCTGCCATGTTATTGCTTCTGAGGAATACAGAAGGTTCTGGGATAAAGGGATAGTCAATGTGTATGCCCCTTGCTTCATCCAGGGAGATTGAAAAATGCCTTCCTCTTCTTACACCGTAGTAATGTGGAGCTTATAGATTTACATAGTGGCTTTGTTGAGTTGAAGGTTATTGGAAAGGAGTCACTGGATAGCAATATGAGCTTTCATGGAAGAGAACTTCCTCTTGCTGCGCCACCACAGGAGGGAATTGTCTTCTGTCCTGCCCCCTTCTCCTCCCCCTGCCCCCCTCAAAATCCCTTCAGAGTACTGTTAGCCTCCAAAGCAGCTTGAATGTCTCAATAGACTGTCTCTCCATACACTAAAACTTTTACATGACCATATGTCATTCAGGTCTTTCAGCGACATCTGGACAGATGTGACAGAATTGCATAGCTTCAGCATTTGGCGATTCATGATCATGTAATAGTTTTTCCACACCAGATTTGAATACTCCATAATTATATGTTCTCCTTGCCAAAAGTTGATTTTAAAACCTCCTTAGTAAGGAGATCCCATATTGCAGCTGTTCATATTGCAGAGCCATTTATATTGGGTAAGAGATAAGGGCAGGGGAAAGGTTAAATGCATACTACAAAGATGCTTACAATATTTTTTTATTTTAGCTGAGCAATAGTTGAAGTATCATGTTACCTTGTATTTCCTATCTAATCCTATAGCAGGATGCAAGGATTAAAGAACTCAGGCTACCAAAGCATGGAAATATATTTTCCAAGATCATGTTACCTTGAACATAAGTATTCTCTCAGCTGGGAATAAGTTATATGTGGGGGGGATTATTTTTGGGACTGGAAAGGAACTGAAAGCAGGCAATCAGTTAAGGCTGCTTTTCTAGGGTATGTGGGAGACTCCAGCAGGTAGGATGTGAATGATGTTACATGTTTTGAAGCAAGAGGGATGGTGGTTGGACATATAACCAGGAGTGAGGGAGCCCATAGGAACAGAGGACTGGAGGAGGCCAATTAGGCTATTAAGTCCAGTGCCCTACACTGATGGGCATTTTTTTTTTAACCAAAGTAACCCTAAAATTGCTGGTTCAAATCCTCACTCACAACTACAAGGCAAGGTACCTGAAACACCAAGAATGCCCTATATAACATGCCATTGATAAAAGCAGCAGAGACATGAGCACTACCAGTGACCTGCCATTGCAATGCCAATGATTAATATATGCTCAGAAATGCTAGGTAAATGATCATGCCTCAAGCTACAAAGAAAGGCAACTGTCCTTCCTACCCTCTACAGTCCGTGCCAATCTGACATGGTGGAGGAGGTAAAATTCTTTTCTGATCCCAAATTTGGTGATCAGTAGGACCTTGAGCAGAAGAGCAAGACTTTCTAGTCAGAAAGGTCTGGATTTTTTACGTCTGGGCAGGAGCTTCGGTGCACCTCAGTCAAAAATTCCAGCTTCAGCAGTGGCCAGTGTCCTAAGGCTTTAGAGGACGGTGAATATTCTTGCTATCAGAGGCCAGTAGCATTCATAAAGGGGAAAAAGTCCTTCCCAGCCTCAACTAGAGGCTAGCAAAAGCCCTAAGAGATGTCTAAGCTCTTTGTTCAGCTAGGGCATCTGCTTGACAAATAGGAGAAGTATTGCAGGAGCTAAGAATCAGTTTAGGTGTGGTTTCTGTCCAAGTTCAGTAACTGAACTAAGTCCTCTTTGAGTGTGTTTTGGGAAGGAAATACAATAAATTATATTATTGCTTTGAAACTCTGGAGCAGAGCTCTCAAATAAAAAAGAAAAAAAAAGCTTACTGATGTAAACTGTAGTTTCACGTATGTGTGGTAAGGCATGTTTCAGGAAATGCATTTTTAAAATAGTTTTGTTTGCTTGTCATGGTTTTTAAACTATTTTCAGATAACAGTAGCACTGTTGGTATTGGCTGGCTGGAATGGCTGGTTTACAGGACTGTCAATGAGACTGAAAGTCAGAGTTTTTCCCTTTTAGGTCACTAATTCCAGTCCAGGTTGGTAGTGTTAGAATCAGTTGGCTGTTACAATGGCCTGTATGAAGAGTTTGATTACATTTCAGCTCTTGGACTGCAAGAGGCTATGTTACAAAACAATCAATAGAGTTGTCCTTTCACCTGGTATACTGTCACCTGGAATAGTGATCTTCCCCACACAAGGTTAAAGTAGGGTTAGGGCAGTCCAGGGAAGTTTGCCCACTTATGCAAGATCAGTAATTAGTATTATTCATTCTTTCTGTTGAATATTGTTACTGATCCAAATGTAATTGCTACTGGTTTGCAAGCTTGTGTTTCTATTCAGTTCCTGCCAGCAGCTGATTAAATTTTAGATTAAGAATTTATAAGTACAATTTCAGCCTCTTTCAGGTTGGGAGGAATGTCTGAAATAGATGCAATTTCTGTGACTCTTTTTTCCTTCAGGAGTCTCATGGCTGATCTCTCATATAAAAAAGTTTTGACCAGGTTTTCACATTTTCCTCATCAAACAATAGGGTGCAACTTGAAACAGTACTGATCTTAGGTGAGTTGCATGCTCTAGGTGTGAGGTACATGAAAGAACAGAGAGACATATCCAAGATTGAAGGCATTTGTAGGTAGAAGTCATTCAAAATGGAGTAGGAAGAATAGAGGGTAGAGGCTTTATATATGCTGGTTGAGAATCACTGGCACAGGCATTATGTCTAGGTATTTAATACATCATCACATTCTGTACTCTCAAATACAGCAATGTAAATTGTAAACGTTACTATTTTATTAAAGTAGTGCTCAGAGGTCACAACTGGGACCTGATTGTGCTCATAAACCAGATAATCCTTAAAATTTGTATGTATAAAATGACCTACAATCATATAATTGGAGGCAAGTTGGTATTGCACAATAACATATGGAACAGGAGAACTGGATTTTATTCCTGGCCCTTCTAAAGAATGCTTGTTGTATGATTTGGGGGAAGTTATTTAACTCCCCTATAACTCAGTTTGCCTATCTGTTAACAAGTGATCAAAGATTCTTCACAGGTGAGTTATGAGTCTCAGTTAATTAATATTTATGAAAAAAATATTGAAATAGTTTAGATAGCAGTATAAAAGAAACTGTATAATAACTATACTGAAGTATTGCATAATAAGGTCCAAGTTGAGAATATGCATTCAGAATTGAGGTTCATATTCCCAATATAAGCAGTACAGCTTAACATTACATTAACAAAATATCCTTCTGTATGGTACCTTGACACTACAAGGGGATTTACAACCCTGGAAGAAATCGAGGCAGATTAAGGCTGATGCAGTAGGCATCCTTCAGGCTGAGAACAGCTGTATTCAGGTTCACTTTATTTCATGCAAGTAGAGAATTTGGACAAACATC